TTTTATTTTTTTCACACAAATAGAGCTTTCTTTTGGTGGTATGTACTCCCCGCTGAGGGGTTTTATTTTTTGCACTATAAACAAAAAAAAAGAGCAAAACATTTGAAAAAAAAATTTTTTTCTTTCTTTTATAAAATTTTGCAAACAGGTAATTTTCCTCTTTCACTGATGTGCATTGATGAGGCGGCACCGATGGGTGGAGCTGCTGGGCACCGATGGGTGGAGCTGCTGGGCACAGGTGGGTGACACTGATGATCAGTGCCGATCACTTCTCTGACAGTTGCTGGATCGGCAGTACGTTCCTGATCTGTGCGAGGAAAGTGGAGCCGATAACCGGCAACTGTATGTACTGGTGATCTGCTGTCATTGGACACAGCTGATCACGTGGTAAAGAGCCACTGTGATTGGCCATTTACCGTATCACCAGTGGTGCCTGGTGCGCGACGCTGGGGGCGCGTTCTGGAAGGACGTCCTCTCAGTACTAGACAACCGCGCTATAGCCATCTGTCGGCTGGACCGCGGTAGGGAATCGGTTAAAAGCAAAAAGTCCAAAATATTTTTTTTTCAAAAATTTCATTTTTTTTTATAGCGTAATAAATAAAAACCGCACAAGTGATCAAATACCACCGAAAGAAAGCTCAATTTGTGGGGGGGATGTAAATCTCAAGTGGGTGCAGCGCTGCATGACCGCGCAGTTGTCAGTTAAAGTAATGCAGCGCCGTATCGCAAAAAATGGTCTGGTCGGGGGGGGGGGGGGGGGGGGGGGGGGGGGGGGGGGGGGGGGGGGTGGGGGGGGGGGGGCACCAAAAAAAAACGCATCACATAACGGGCCTTTTTCTTAACGTGTGAAAACGCTGACGCACCACAACATAATCCCGCCTCCACAGGTTGTGGCGCGCTGCGTCGCGGATAAATGGCGCTTGGTATTTTTCCCCTACGCACCAGTCGCGTTGTAACGCAATCATGCCGGTGAGAGCGCCCCCTGTGACCAGCACTGGTGTGAGGCTCAGACATGACAGGGGCTCTTTACAATTCAGGAAGATTCCACGTCTGGAGACAAGAAGAACTACAAGTCCCAGAGAGGGAAGCCTGAACGCAGCCCCGCCCCCTCCTGCAGTCACCTGACACAACATCCCGAAGTTCCGCGAAGTCGTCATGGCGACCGCTCCTGAAGGCCTGCACGGCCAGGTGGAAGAAGTAGTCCAGCACCCATTGATTCACCACCGGCTCCAGAGCCCAGACATCGCTCTCCGCCCACTCCCGCCATCCTCCTCCGGCGTGCTCAATGTTTTCGCTGCCTCACTTCCGGTCACATGACGTCGTCCTGGCGCCACCATTCTCCTCTGGCGCGATCAGTCCTTGCTGCATCGCCGCACGCCCCACTTCCGGTCACATGTCGGCTTCCGCAATCTTTCCGCACTAGGAAACGTCACCTGATTCACGGCCTGACCCTTTTTTCGTCACATGTCGTCTCCACCGCGCCGCCATGATGGATGGGGCAGAAAGTAACATTTAGGTGGCAAAATGGATAGTTTAGGGGTGGATTTTTATATTTATTATATCTTTATAGTTATTATTTTTTTCCTTTTCTTTGTTTTTGTAAAAATGTCATTAAAGTGTGGTAATGGAGTTATTATATTGGCTCCTGTTTGGTCCATCAAATATAAATTTGAGGTTATTATGGGCAGCACAGTGGCTAAGTGGTGAGCATTTCCGCCTGGCAGTACCGGGGTTGTTGGTTTCAAATCCCACCCACAGCACCACCTGCCTGGAGCTTGCATGTTCTCCTTGTGACTGCGTGGGTTTTCTCTGGGTACTCCGGTTTCCTCCCACACTCCAAAGACTTGCTGGGAGGTGAATTGGCTCCTGTCTAAATTGTCCCTAGTATGTGTATGTATGAATGTGAGTTAGGGACCTTAGATTGTACGCTCCTCAGGGGCGGGGACTGATGTTAATGTACAATATTTAAGTAAAGCGCTGTGTAAATTGACTGTGCTATATAAGTACCTGAAATAAATTTGGTGATATTCAGTTCAATAAGCCTTCTTCTGGGTTTGAGAAAGGCTCGGTTCACAGTTGTGCAACTCATGCGATTTCCATTGCGACTTTGATGCAACTTTGGATGGGTGCGACTTGGATGTGACTTTGGCTGTTCCACAATTGTCGCATTGATAACATGCAACTTTTGAAAGTTTACATTGCAGTCTACGGCACTCCAGTTGCATGAGAATCGCATCAGAGTAGTGCAGGAACCTTATTAACCCCTCGCCCTCCTGAGGATTCCCTTCCCGACAAGGTCATTTTTTACGTTACGGCGCTGCGTTACTTTGACAATTGCGCGGTCATGCAACGCTGCACCTAAATGACATTTACGCCCTTTTTTCCCCATGAACTCAGTTTTCTTTCAGTTGTATTTTATCCCCTATGCGGTTTTTATTTTATGCGCTATAAAAAAAAAAAAGACCAACAATTTTGAGAAAAAAAAAACAATATTTTTGACTTTTTGCTGATAAACATGTCCAGTAAAAAAAAAAAAAAATCAAATTTCGTCACAAATTTCGGCCAAAATGTATTTTGCTCAGTGTCTTTGCTAAAAAAAATCCCAATACGTGTAAATTAATTGGTTTACGTGAAAGTTATAGCGTCTACAAATGGCGGTATAGATACTGGGATTTTTTGTTTCTACTAGTAAATGGCAGCAATCAGCGACTTATAGCGGGACTGCAGCGAACATTTTGACATGGGGGGGGAGTGACTTGGTGTCACTGAGATCCCCAGTGACACCAATACAATGATCAGTGCTAATAAAAAGCACTGACACTGTACTCATGGCACCAGGCAGGAAGGAATTAATGTGAGGGGCGATCAAAGGGTTTACTGTGTGCTGGGAGTGTTTTACTAGGAGGCGGGGGTCTGTGTGCTTCACTGTATTCACACTGCTGTGCACAGCCATCCAGAGCATTGTGTCCAAGCTGACAGGGAGGAGGACTGTTAGTAAACAAAACAGTCCTCCTCCCAGTTGGAGATGCTCTATAATCACCAGGTGCTGGTGGGTAATCACCGGCCGGGACCCGGTGATTGGCAGCCGCGGCCTGAAATGGCAGCGTAGGTAGGGCGTGTGTGCGGCTCGCGCGCACCCCCTACCTGGGAATACAAAATCGCATATATATATATATATACGTGATTTTGCGCACCCCTGTAGCAGTATATCTGCTATAGGGTGGGAAGCAGGTAATGTCACTGCAGTTTTAAGTTGCATAGATTTGGATGGCTTCCATTGTTTACCTACACAGAGCTCTGTATTGTCACTTGGTCTGCCGATCGGCAGGTCCTGGCCATAAATCATTGGCCAGGACTTGGCGATTGGCATGTGCTGGAGCCAGTGATGTCACAGCCGGGAGGGTGGGTGCGTGCACCCCCCCTACCCTGAAATGCGAAATTACGTACATATACATGATTCTGCGCAGCTGGCCCAACCTACAGCAGTAAAACTACAGTGCGTGGTTGGCAAATGGTTAATCCCAAACCTGAACTCTGAGCATTATTTAATCCTGACCCCTGAGCGTTGCTTAATCCTGACCTCTGTGTTACTTAATCCTAAACTATGAACTCTGTGCGTTACTTAATCCTGACCCTTGAACTCTGTGTGTTACTTAATCCTGACCCCTGAACTCTGCGTTACTTAATCTTGACCCCTGAACTCTGCGTTACTTAATCCTGACCCCTGAGCATTACTTAATCCTGACCCCTGAGCGTTACTTAATCCTGACCTCTGTGTTACTTAATCCTAAACTCTGAACTCTGTGCGTTACTTAATCCTGACCCCTGAACTCTGAATTACTTAATCCTGACCCCTGAACTCTGAATTACTTAATCCTCACCCCTGAACTCTGTGTGTTACTTAATTCTGACCTCTGTGAGTTACTTAATCCTGATGCCTGAGCGTTACTTAATCCTGACCCCTGAGTGTTACTTAATCCTGACCCCTGAACTCTGTGTTACTTAATCCTGACCCCTGAACACTGTGCGTTACTTCTTACCTCTGCGTGTTACTTAATCCTGACCCCTGAGCTCTCTGTGTTACTGACCCCTGACCCCTGCGTTACTGAATCCTGACCCCTGACCTCTGCGTGCTACTGAATCCTGACCCCTGACCTCTTTGTGTTACTTAATCCTGACCCCTGAACTCTGTGCGTTAATTCTGACCTCTGCATGTTATTTAATCCTGACCCCTGAGTGTTACTTAATCCTGACCCCTGAACGCTGTGCGTTACTTAATTCTGACCCCTGAACTCTGTGTTACTTAATCCTGATCCCTGAATACTGTGCGTTACTTAATCTTGACCTCTAGCGTTACTTAATATCTGACCCCTATGCATTACCTAATCCTGACCCCTGTGAGTTCTTAATCCTGACCCCTGAACTCTGCGTTACTTAATCCTGACCCCTGAGAGTTATTTAATCCTGACCCCTGTGCGTTACTTAATCCTGACCCCTGTGCGTTACCTAATCCTGACCCCTGACCTCTGTACGTTACTTAATCCTGACCCCTGACCTCTGTATGTTACTTAATCCTGACCTCTGTGCGTTACTTAATCCTGACCCCTGAACTCTGTGCCAATTCTGAATTGCTCGGCTCCAGAGGACAAATCCCAGTAGAAGAGACAAATGTAACCTTACTATTCAGTTATAATCATTTAAGGAAATAATGCACCTCGTATGATAAACGTTTATTTTTATTTCTATAATAAGACCTCATGACCCATGTCAGCTCAGCTCCCAACTTTGACATCATTCTGGTGCAGTCAAGCCCACTGCTGCCCACATCCAACATGGCCGCTCCGCAAACCAGGAACTTCTTACGTGTATCGGTAATCTGTCAGTGGCCTCAAAGCACAGCCTGCTCCTATTGGCTGACCCTCCACCACGCGGTCCGCCCTCGCGGCCCTCATTGGCTGTCACCTTGGAGACGTCGCCAGTGTCTGTGAGCCGACTGTGAGGCGTCCCCTTGGACGGAGGCCGGCGGCGGTCACGTCAGGTCGGTGTTACGTAACGCGTTGAGTGTGACACCGGCCATGGCGAGCGAGGACCGCGGACAGGAGCCGGAGGTGACTTACTACACCCTGGAGGAGGTGCAGAGGAGGAACTCCGCCAAGGAGCTGTGGCTGGTCATCCATGGCCGGGTCTATGACATCACCAGCTTCGTGGAGGAGGTGAGGCGGCTGCTGGGCTCCCTGCTGAGACACTGAGGGAGCGGAGACACTGAGGGAGCGGAGGCACTGAGGGAGCGGAGACACTGAGGGGAGCGGAGGCACTGAGGGAGCGGAGACACTGAGGGAGCAGAGAGCACTGAGGGGAGCGGAGGCACTGAGGGAGCGGAGGCGGCGGAGACACTGAGGGAGCGGAGGAGACACTGAGGGAGCGGAGGCGGCGGAGACACTGAGGGAGCGAGGCACTGAGGGAGCGGAGGCACTGAGGAGAGGAGACACTGAGGGAGCGGAGGCGGCGGAGACACTGAGGGAGCGGAGACACTGAGGGAGCGGAGACACTGAGGGAGCGGAGACACTGAGGGAGCGGTGATGACACTGAGGGAGCGGAGACACACTGAGGGAGCGGAGGCAGCCGAGACACTGAGGGAGCGGAGGGAGCGGCGGGAGACACTGAGGGAGCGGCGGAGACACTGAGGGAGCGGCGGAGACACTGAGGGAGCGGCGGCGGCCGAAACACTGAGGGAGCGGAGACACTGAGGGAGCGGAGGCGGCGGAGACACTGAGGGAGCGGAGACACTGAGGGAGCGGAGGCGGCCCAGACACTGAGGGAGCGGAGGCGGCCCAGACACTGAGGGAGCGGAGGCGGGGAGCAGACACTGAGGGAGCGGAGGCGGCCGAGACACTGAGGGAGCAGGGGCACTGAGGGAGCGGAGGCACTGAGGGAGCGGAGGCACTGAGGGAGCGGAGGCACTGGGGAGCGAGGCGGAGGCACTGAGGGAGCGAAGAGCGGCGGAGACACTGAGGGAGCGGAGGCGGCGGAGACACTGAGGGAGCGGCGGAGACACTGAGGGAGCGGAGGCGGCGGAGACACTGAGGGAGCGGAGGCGGCGGAGACACTGAGGGAGCGAGGCGGCGGAGACACTGAGGGAGCGGCGAGACACTGAGGGAGCGGAGGCGGCGGAGAGACACTGAGGGAGCGGAGGCGGCGGAGGCACTGAGGGAGCGGAGGCACTGAGGGAGCGGAGGCGGCGGAGGCAGGCACTGAGGGAGCGGAGGGAGCGGCGGAGGCACTGAGGGAGCGGAGACACTGAGGGAGCGGAGGCGGCGGAGACACTGAGGGAGCGGAGACACTGAGGGAGCGGAGGCGGCTGAGACACTGAGGGAGCGGAGGCGGCCGAGACACTGAGGGAGCGGAGGCGGACACTGAGGGAGCGGAGGGGGACACTGAGGGAGCGGAGGGGACACTGAGGGAGCGGAGGGGACACTGAGGGAGCGGAGGAGACACTGAGGGAGCGGAGGAGACACTGAGGGAGCGGAGGCGGCGGAGACACTGAGGGAGCGGCGGAGACACTGAGGGAGCGGAGGAGGCGGACACTGAGGGAGCGGAGGCGGCGGAGACACTGAGGGAGCGGAGGCGGCGGAGACACTGAGGGAGCGGAGGCGGCGGAGACACTGAGGGAGCGGAGGCGGCGGAGGCACTGAGGGAGCGGAGGCACTGAGGGAGCGGAGGCGGCGGAGGCACTGAGGGAGCGGAGGCGGCGGAGGCACTGAGGGAGCGGAGGCACTGAGGGAGCGGAGGCGGCGGAGGCACTGAGGGAGCGGAGAGACACGAGGGAGCGGGAGCGGAGGCGGCGGAGAGGCACTGAGACACTGAGGGAGCGGAGGCGGCGGTGGCGGCACTGAGGGAGCGGAGGCACTGAGGGAGCGGAGGCCGAGACACTGAGGGAGTGGAGGCACTGAGGGAGCGGAGGCGGCGGAGGCACTGAGGGAGCGGAGGCGGCGGAGGCACTGAGGGAGCGCGAGGCGGCGGAGGCACTGAGGGAGCGGAGGCGGCGGAGGCACTGAGGGAGCGGAGGCGGAGGAGACAGTGAGGGAGCCGAGACACTGAGGGAGTGGAGGTGGGAGTTGGTGGGCTGAGAGACGGGGGTTGTATACACGCGGGATATGACATGCCGTATTCATGCAGGATATTACACGCGGGATAGGACACGCCGCCTACATGCAGGATACGGTATATAATGCATTGTATCTCTCACTCACTGCAGACTCGGACACACTATAAAGGGATGTGCTTTGTTCATATTTCCTGTCTGAGGGTGTAATTGATCGTCTCGTCTCATTTCTGACTTTTCTCCTCTTCGGATCGCTCTGTTCCCATTTCTAATGATGAAGCGACACTCCTCTCTCCGGCCAATCACAGCTCTTGTTTGTCACAGATCCTTCTTGAGCTGCCAGAAGGACTTTGGATTTCAGGATAATCGCTGAGCGCTCTCTCGGTTGCAGGAATGTAGAAGCTGATATCCTGAGCCCGTCCGCAGTACTGCGTGTTCCCGGGCCCGTCCGCAACCCTGCGCGTTCCCGGGGCCCGTCCGCAACCCTGCGCGTTCCCGGGGCCCGTCCGCAACCCTGCGCGTTCCCGGGGCCCGTCCGCAACCCTGCGCGTTCCCGGGGCCCGTCCGCAACCCTGCGCGTTCCCGGGGCCCGTCCGCAACCCTGCGCGTTCCCGGGGCCCGTCCGCAACCCTGCGCGTTCCCGGGGCCCGTCCGCAACCCTGCGCGTTCCCGGGGCCCGTCCGCAACCCTGCGCGTTCCCGGGCCCGTCCGCAACCCTGCGCGTTCCCGGGGCCCGTCCGCAACCCTGCGCGTTCCCGGGGTCCGTCCGCAACCCTGCGCGTTCCCGGGGCCCGTCCGCAACCCTGCGCGTTCCCGGGGCCCGTCCGCAACCCTGCGCGTTTCCGGGGCCCGTCCGCAACCCTGCGCGTTCCCGGGGCCCGTCCGCAACCCTGCGCGTTCCCGGGGCCCGTCCGCAACCCTGCGCGTTCCCGGGGCCCGTCCGCAACCCTGCGTGTACCTCTTCTACATGAACCAGTCTGTAGACATTATGAATCGGATGCCTAGTGGCCTCATTGATGTTGGTGACAGGTTCTCTTTCAGGCACTAATGTCTTCCCTCGTTGTTTCCGCAGCACCCGGGTGGGGAGGAGGTCCTGTTTGAGCAGGCTGGAGCAGATGCCACAGAGAGCTTCGAGGATGTCGGCCATTCTGTTGATGCCAGAGAAATGCTGAAGCAGTATTACATCGGAGACCTGCACCCGGTAAGATGAAGGGAGTCACGGCTCCTGCAGTACATGTATGTCCTGATGGATAACTTCTGGTTCCTGTCAATCCCTTTGCTTTGAGGAAAGGTGACTACATGCAATCACTTTCAATTTGGCACCTAAACACACACACACACTTGGGCCCCATCGCAGTCCAGCAGCTTCGGCTCCCACTACTGTCAATCACAGCCAATGAGGAGGGAGGGGACTGGGGCTGAGCCATTACCCTGTGCGTGAGTGGACACGCAGAGCAGCGGCTCAGGAGCGAGCCTGCTTGTGTGCCCCCATATCAAGCTGCTTGTTGAGGGGGCACTTGGCAGGAGGGAGGACCATTCATAAGGCGCAGCACCACTCGCGCATGCACAGTGGGCACCCAGCTGTAAAACTGCAAGCTGTCGCAGCCGGGTGCCCACACTTAAGATGTCGGCCCCAGAGAGAGAGGGCGGCTGGTGAAACCTGCTGGGGTGAGTACACTGCTGGATTGGGGGACAGGTGAATGGCTGGTTTTTAAGAGTCAGCAGCTACAATTTTTGTAGCTGCTGCCTTTTTTTTTTTTTTTACGTTTTGACTGGAGCTCCAGTTTAAGGAACCAGCAGCTGCTGTCTGCAGGGAATATAAACAAAAGTGCCCTTTGGGTCTGGTATGGATTTTGAAGGCGATCCCACGTAAAAAAAAAAAACACCCTGGTGTCCCCCTCCAAATCCATATCAGGCCCTTTTGTCTGATATGGATTTTAAGGGGAACCTCACACCAATGGCATAGTGTCCCACTGAAATCCATACCAGACCCTCATCTGACCATGCAGGCCAGGAAGGGGGGGGGGCTGGTATGGTGCAGGAGGGAGTGGGGAAGATTCGCTCATCCCTCCCCTTTCCTGCTTGGCTGCTTGCTCAGGTAAGGGTCTGGTATGGATTTTGGAGGGGTCCTTGTGTGTTTTTTCTTTTTTTTTTTTTTTGGTGTGGGTTCCCCTTCAAAATACATTCCAGACCTGAAGGGCTTTTTTGTTTACATTCCCTGTCGAAGAGCTATCCTTGTTGTCAGGATGCCGGCAGTTGCGGGCTCCCTAACAACCAATGACTCATTCTGGATGGCTGACAGCAGGAGCGAGTCGTGGTGATAAAAACGCATTGTAAACGTACAAAATCACATTGCTGCTGGACTCCGGAATTGCATTGAAAATTGGATCAGAATCGCACTGCATTAGTGTGAACCGAGTCCAAGAGCCGGTGTTGATGGGCTTCTGATTTGCTTTTAGCGTGTTTTGAATTCTCATACAAGTCAGTAGAAATGCTGAACCCGCGTGACGCTGGTCAGCCGCACCTGTCTGTGAATTCTCAATGAGCTCAGAATGATGGCATGGACACCAGGCCCTAGCCCATCCGCCAGGCCGCCCATCCGCCGGGCCCCAGCCCATCCGCCGGGCCCCAGCCCATCCGCCGGGCCCCAGCCCATCCGCCTAGCCCATCCTCCAGGCCCTAGCCCATCCTCCAGGCCATAGCCCATCCACCAGGCCCCGGAGGTCACAGAAAAGGTGCGCATTGCTGTGAAGAGTTTTTCACTTTTACTTATTTACTAGAGATGAGCGAATCGAACCAGGCGAACCGGAATTCGATACGAATTTCAGGAAAAATTCGATTCGCGTCGAATCCGAATATTTGCCTACTTCGGGTGCGCGAATCGGATTTTTCCCGATCAGCCGGCAAAAGTGTCCCTGCAGTGAGCTCCGCTATTTCTGACAGTTCTCTGACAGCTTCTTCACATGTACAGCGGTTGAAACATTGTATCTATTAGTTTCCATTTAGGATACAGATGTTTCAACCGCTGTACATGTGAAGAAGCTGTCAGAGAACTGTCAGAAATAGAGGAACTCTGCACATACACTTTTTGCCGGCTTGGAATTAATCTTATTTTCATCCTACTTCTTCTTCTTCTTCTTCATCCTCATCCTCAGAAGAAGAAGAAAGAGGATGAGGATGAAGAAGAGAAGAAGTAGGATGAAAATAAGAATAATTCCAAGCCGGCAAAAAGTGTATCTGCAGAATGTCATTCCTAGATACTATTTTCAACCGCTGTATGGAGTGAATGACAGCTTCAGAAATAGACATGTACAGCTGTCCTTCTGAAAACATCTTGTATCCTAAATGGAAAAACTTAGATACAATCTGTCCTTCTTCAACCTGCTGTCATCCTGGAGTGAAATGTCATCAGAACTTCTCAAATAGACAGAAACTGTCTTTCAGACCTTCTCCTTTCTTCATCCTTCTTCTCATCCTTCTTCTCATCCTTCTTCCTTCTTCTTCTCATCCTTCTTCTCATCCTTCTTCTCATCCTTCTTCTCATCCTTCTTCTCATCCTTCTCATCTTCTCTCATCCTTCTTCTCATCCTTCTTCTCATCCTTCTCCTTTCTTTCATCCTTCTTCCATCCTTCTCCTTCTCCTTCTTCTCCTCTTTCATCCTTCATCCTTCTCCTTCTTCTATCATCTCCTTCTTCATCCTTCTCCTTCGACCGGGCATTGCATCTTCTCCTTCTTCTCATCCTTCTCCTTCTTTCATCTTCCTTCTCCTTCTTCTCATCCTTCTTCTCCTCTTCCTTCTCTCTCATCCTTCTCTCCTTCTCCTTTTCCTTCTTCTCATCCTTCTCCTTCTTCTCATCCTTTTCTTCTTCTCCTCCTTCTCCTTCTCCTCTTCTCATCCTTCTCCTTCTTCTCATCCTTCTCATCCTTCTCTTCTCCCTTCTCATCCTTCTCCTTCTTCTCATCCTTCTCCTTCTTCTCAATCCTTCTTTCTCCTTCTTCTCCTTCTCCTTCTTCTCATTCTTCTCCTTCTCCTTCACCTTCCTCTTCTCCTTCTCCTTCTTCCTTCTCTTCTCTCATCCTTCTCCTTCTCTTCTCATCCTTCTCCTTCTTCTCATCCTTCTCCTTCTTCTCCTCTTCCTTCTCCTTCTTCTCATCCTTCTCCTTCTTTTCTCATCCTTCTCTCTTCTCCTTCTTCTTTTCCTTCTCCTTCTCTCATCCTTCTCCTTCTCCTTCTTCTCATCCTTCTCCTTCTCCTTCTTTCTCATCCTTCTCCTTCTCCTTCTTCTCATCCTTCTCCTTCTCCTTCTTCTCATCCTTCTCCTTCACCTTCTCCTTCCTCATCTCCAAGGGCATTTAAATTAAAGGTACAGTGTTCTGCACTAATTTAAAGGCTCTCTGAAGCCTAGAAACCCCCTTTTTATAAGTTAACTTCGTAGCGAATTAATTCGCATCGAATCGAATTTCTTCCTGGAATTCGCCGAATCAGCCGAATCGAATTTTTGAAAAATTCGCTCATCTCTATTATTTACAATAAATGTTTATTTTTTGTTTTTTTTCTTTAAACAGGATGATTGCAACAACCACAGTAAAAAGGTAAGTGCCGACTCTTCACACGCAGAGCACCATGTGACACGTCGCGGTCTGTCCTATGAAATGTCGCTGAATGTTTTGTTGGTGCGATCGATCTCCATGAGAACACAACCGATCCATTCTCCAGAGCAGTTCTGAGGATGAATCGAGATCGTTCAGTGACACGTGGGTGCGTCGCTGGTCCAGGAGTGGGTGGTGAACTTTTAGTGGTTGTACCGGAATGATGCTTGTAGCTGCACCCCAGTACCGGTCTTTAGAGCCGGCGGTCAGCTCTTGTAGGCAATCGGAGCAGCTACTAGATTCCTTGTGCGAGCAGCAGGAGGGGAATCCCAGGAATTCAGCTACTTTGAAAAACCTGAATACCATGAGTTAGTGTTACTGAACCCCCAACAATACGATCCGTCTGTAGATGCAGTAATATTATTATTATTATTATAGAGTATTTATATATAGCGCCAAAAAGTTTGCTCGGCGCTGTACATTATAGTGGGGACAGTACATGAGACAATACAATACACGAGGGGGGGGGGGCCCTGCTCTTTGGAGCTTAGTAAAGCATGCTGGTTATACTCGCTGTGGAACCTAAGGGGTTAATCCTCTGCATTGTGCTAAAACGCTGTTTGATCCTGTCTTCTCTGATCCTCCCCTTCTTCCAGTGCCCCCCTCTTATCTCCTGATAAGACATATCGTGTGGAGTCACTCTGCACTTGCTCAGTTTGGTGTGTATTGCTAGAGAGGTTTTTTTTTTGTTCTGTTTTTTTTTTTCTTTGGGAGAGTGCATGTGATCGCCACAGGGCCAATCAGCACTATCCAGACAGAGGTCGGGGTCCCTGCATCCTCCTACAGCAGAATGAAAACTCCTACAAGGTTTAACCAGTGCTCGGATGGACACTGTTAGAAATCACATGACTGCTCTATACTGCTGATGAGAAAAGGGATTTAGTAGTTTATATGTACTAAAATAATTGCATTTCCATGTTCAGTGTACTGTGGGAGAGGGGATATAGTGAATGCGGGGTCCGGGGGAGAGCGGATGTAGTGAATGCGGGGTCCGGGGAGAGAGCGGAAATAGTGAATGCGGGGTCCGGGGAGAGCGGAAATAGTGAATGCGGGGTCCGGGGAGAGCGGATATAGTGAATGCGGGGTCCGGGGAGAGCGGATACAGTGAATGCGGGGTCCGGGGAGAGCGGATATAGTGAATGCGGGGTCCGGGGAGAGCGGATATAGTGAATGCGGGGTCCGGGGAGAGCGGATATAGTGAATGCGGGGTCCGGGGAGAGCGGATATAGTGAATGCGGGGTCCGGGGAGAGCGGATACAGTGAATGCGGGGTCCGGGGAGAGCGGATACAGTGAATGCGGGGTCCGGGGAGAGCGGATACGTGAATGCGGGGTCCGGGGAGAGCGGATACAGTGAATGCGGGGTCCGGAGGAGAGCGGATACAGTGAATGCGGGGTCCGGGGAGAGCGGATACAGTGAATGCGGGGTCCGGGGAGAGACGGATGTACGGGGAGAGCGGGATGCGGGGTCCGGGGAGAGCGGATACGGTGAATGCGGGGTCCGGGGAGAGCGGATACGGTGAATGCGGGGTCTGGGGAGAGCGGATACGGTGAATGCGGG